TGATCGCCCGTGTAAGGGGAACAATAAAAAATATTTTCGAAACAACCCTTTCGAGTTGTGCTTTCGACGAACATAGTGTAAATATCGTTGATAAGTATAAAAGGTATGTAAGTAATAGCTCAGTAACAGATCGCTCGCTTTTGATGCTTTATACTTGAGCAACCTGAGTTCAAATCCGGAAATCCCGAGGTGCCGGCACCAGTGACATTGTTAATTTTCAGTGCTGATTTGTCACATGCTCACCGTTGAAGGAAAACATCATAAGGAAATCCGCACATCTTCGAAATAACGACCAAATGATAGTTTAAAAAACTAAATAACACGCTTTTGTAAATAGCCGAACTATAAAGTAGAAAATAATTTACAGTATATTTAAACCTTTTACTACTTAGTTTTGAAAATAAAATATGTATACAATATTTCATAGTCCACTTGAAAAAGAAATAGTTATTACGATCTTGGGTGAACTTTGTTTCCGTGATACAAGGATTGTTGAACCTTCCACAACGCTGAGATAACTACCGCTGGAGAAGTTTCAAAAAAGCAAAACATTTTTACATAAAGCGGGAGAACACATGCGAATGATGCTGCCTGTGGTACATTAATTCGTCAAAAACAGAAGAGCTTTAGCAGCGGGAAAAGCGCCTTTCGCCGCACCTCTCATTTTTACGGCGTCACTGTCCGTCCGGATGCCGCAATCGCTCGGCGCTCCGGACGGAACGCTGCAGCGCTGGAAGATTGCTGTGCGTTGCGCTTTTGTTACGCCGCGCGGCCGCAGATTGCTTCGTGCGTTCGGGATTGCGCGCTCTTTGTCCGCGCGTCCGTCACGCGCGGTGAAAAGTGGTCGGTCCACAATGGACCCCTGATAGATCCCGCTTTGTTGCCCGGCGTAACGCGTCTAACACAATACTTGCACGCCATTTCTAGAAGCAGCGAAAGAAATAGGCAATGATATTATATGAAAACTAGCTGCTGCCCGCGACTACGTCTGCGTAGAGTAGGCTGAAGGCGTAACATTCAGACAGAAAGACAGATATACATTATTTTTATGGAAAAAGTAGGCAAACGAGCATGCGTGTCAACTGATGGTAAGTGATCACCGCCGCCCATGGACATTTGCAACATCGGTTGAGTCGCAATTGCGTTGCCGTTATTTAAGGTGGGAATAGGCTCTCTTCTTGACGGTCCCTCAGTCGTATCGTAACATAAAATATGGATATAAATTATAGCCTATGTCTTATTCTGATGTATAAGCTATATTATTGGAAAGTTTCATTAAAATCCACTCAGTAGTATTTGCGTGAAAGAGTAACAAACATCCATCACCACACCCATACCTACAAACCATACTACCATATGTACAAACTTTCACGTTTATAATATTAGTAAGGATGCGAGATAGATATGAGTAGATATAATCACAAATAAGTAAACGCAGTCTTACTTGTTTTACCAAAAGTACGAACAAATTACGTAAAAAAGTATTAACTTTGAAGGAGCTCAACTATACATTAAACTACTGATATAAAAAAATAGCCGCATTTAGTCTCAATTATCTCAATACATAATTGATAACTTTTCGCCTTCGATTTGATTATCATTGCAATATATACCATATACCAATATACCCAGTATAGTATTTTATGTAAAATCGCTTATAAATTTGTCTTGCTTTTTTTTCAGTAATCTGTTTTTTTTTTTCTTACAATCAATGCACCTACTTAAACTTCTCTGGACCACCCAAAGGTTGACTGGTAGATAATGCTGATGGCATTAAGTCCGCCTCTGTACATATTTTGTGTGCATAAAGTATAAATAAATAAATAAATAAATAAATAAATAAATAAATTTAAAATAAAAAATAAAGCTGTTAAATGTTTGGCGACCATTACTTTATTTTATAATTGAATAATATTCTCATATAAGTGGCATTGTATTGTCTTTTTGGGAGTAAATTTCTTTAACCTCATATGACACACAAATTACGCCAATTGGTGAAAGTATTGAAATTCTATAGACTACTATCTCTTTTCATTGTATCATACTTTGTATTATACGTTCTATATCGTCTGTCACATTCACTTATATACAGCGTGTCTTTACAATCGCGACAATAAATGAACACACGTCTAACGCTACTTGCCAATAATCATAAAAAATACTAACGTTAAAAAAATCCATAATTAAAAAAAATATTTTTCAAACAAACTAATTAAGTAAACTGATTCAACATTCAGAGACGTTTTCATTCGTTGCCACAGCGTCGCATTACAAGCCTCTCCTTCTAACAGTATGTTTTGTTTCTTTCAAATTCATTCAACCCATTCATATGCTTTGTGACCTTTACAAAATGAACTTCACGTTACAGTTTTATACGTAAGGGTGTTCTAAAGTTCGTTGTTTTGGAAAATTTAATAACTCGGTAAGTATTGATGTTTAAAGAATGTAAATGCTTAATAAAATTTTAAAAATTTATCCTCTATATGTGTGTTAATTTAGTGTCGCGATTGTAAAGACACGCTGTATATGTCAAGGGACCAGTATGGACATATCATTGGACAGGAAACTATGCTTACGGATTCATCGCGTTTATTTAAAGTCTTAGAACCCTTTACAGGGTTCATGTATAAGAGTTCTAAAGATTTTACCTTGATCCTAATATTTTAACTATTACTGAACTTGAATATTAACAACTGTTATAACGACAAGCAGCACTAGTGGTTATATCACCGTCCGGGAACGCAGCCGAAATCCAAGTGACCGCTGCTCCATGCGACCATGTGTCCCTTCGCTCGAGTAGAGAACATCATATTCGGTATACAGTGTTGCCAGCGCCAACAAATGGTCACGGGACGCGGGAGTCCGTCTTAAGGGTAAAGGATTCTAAAACTAAAAACAAACGGGATAAATCCATAAACATAGATTCATTAAGTAGCGTGCAATCGCGTAAGTACAAGAAATTATTAATGGACAGGTGTAGAAGACCGGAGCGAATGCATGGTGCTTTGAGAGATCCGAGAAGAAATTATACCTTATCGTGAAAGACTAACCCAAGCGCTTAGTTGGATACATATCCAAACGAAAGATAGGATCACTGAAAGTGTTCTGCATCTACATGCTCCTCCACTAACATGTACCTTTGCTTTCTGGTTCTTCATAAAAATATTTCGGGATATTATCTTCTGCTATTATTATTAGGCCTTCGATGTTTTTAACCATGGTGAAAGTTTTCGTGTAAATGTTAATGAAAATAAATTTCACTATTTATAACATACATACTATCATTCTAACCTCAACTTTTTTAACGTACATATTTTGAGCGATTGTTCAACGTTATCTTATTTATAGCATACGCGATATCAACGTGGTGAAGATATCAACGTATTTATCTAGTTTATATTGTGTTCAGCCATAGAAGAAAGTCGTGAAGTGTAAGCGTTGATACTATTTTCAACAGTTCCGTAAATTACGTGACCTGTAGACCCTACAGTCTTGTGAATGTAATTTGTACATTAGCGGTGGTAGTAAATTACTTTGTATAGTTGCAAAAACCCTTTCTCCATTTGGTTAGATGGGTCCGAAATATCGGCCTAAAAATTCAGTTGATAAAATTCAATTCAATAAAGTTGTATCAACTATTGCTTTAAAGTATTCTTAACGGCCATGGTAAGCACTCCTTTAAAAACTAATTAACTTCTGTAGATTCGGTTTCAATGTTAGCAACTTGAAGTTCTTAGATGGCATAATCCTGTACATGACTTCTGTAAGCGGCACAGCCATTCCTAAAACTATATTTGCTTAATAGTCATCTTTTGATGTCATCAATTTTGTATTGATCTTTGCAAACAACCCATTGTCTGAAAATCAAAGTCAAAATTTCTTTATTCGATATAGGTTTATTTTAAACTTATTGAAAGCTATTTCTGAACGTCAAAAAATTAACACTGATCCACTAAACTCGACCTGCCCAGAGAAGAACCAGCAAGAAACTCTCCGTTCCCATACCATTTTTATTTTAATTATATTAGTACAAAAAGTTATTTAAGTATAAAATAAGCAGCAGCCAGGGCCTTGCAAGTGCAGAGCAAGAGTCATTTCCACGCGTCCTTGTGACCAATTTATTTACTTTTACAAAATCTTTGAAAATCTCAGGTGATATTATCATGTTATTTTATTTGGAAAGTCTCGTATTCTCGGTATAAATTATTAAATTAATCTAATAGGTATTCAATTAGTTACTAGTCATCATTCAAGCGATCTAAAGTATGAAATATTTTTTTATAATTTATTGCATAGTCTTATATTCGAATTAAGTAATTGATTTTGCCTTGTTTTACTGTGTTGTGTATAACTATATATATTTTATTCGTTTCTAAATGCGCGATACGAATTAGTAAAATGCACAGTGCATTTAACAGGTTACTGAAGTACATGTGCCGATAGAAGAAAGAAACATGAATTGGTAAATAAGAGTAAGCAAATATAATTTATTTCCATTCAATTATAATTAGGACTATATTATGATGTTCAATAACTTTGTCATTATTTTGCTACGCAGAAGCTGATTGCGCCATCTGTTGTTGAGTAGAAATGACAATATTAGTCCAGTAAAATATTAAATAAAAATAAACAGCTTATAAAAATAAATTTATTCACACTTTCCGAAAATCCTTCATCATCATCGATTCCTTTAAGAAGCATGACACAAAATTTTAACATAGAATTTTAAAAAGCGCCATCTTTTTTGTTAGATATAAAACATTTAGAGAGATAATAAGCTACCATCAATTTTCACTAGGTGGCAGTTTATTCATATCCGTATATTTCTTTAGATAATTGAAAGTAATATTTAAAAATATCACAAGCTCGAAAATATACAAACTACATACATTTTAATAAATAAAAATCTCCAATAAGAAAAATAATACAATCGATCACATTACTTTTGTTACAAACGATTTATTTATTTTGTCAAGTTTTATCGATTTCATGTTCAATCAGTGATCTATTTCACCAATGTACTGGCCGATCCAATTGTGGTCGACCCTGTCCCAGGGGATGAAGAGCTTCAGCCCGCCGTAGTAAGAGGTGGCCTCAATGTTGTTTCGCTGGCAGTTCGCGTAGCAGATGAAATCGCAGGTGTAGGTCTGAGCGTTGAAGTGCAGACCCTCCGAGCAGACCGTCAGCACCTCCCTTTCGCCGTCGCACCGCCAGAACTTGTTGCAGTCGGTCTCGTGGGCCCATGGCAACACGTTGCAGCCGCTCTCGCACTTGCCACTGCCTCCGCCGCCACCTCCACCGCCTCCGCCGCCACCGCCGCCTCCGCCTCCGCCGCCACCACCGCCGCCTCCGCCACTTTCACAGCCCGCCGAATGCGGCCAGTCGCACACCTGTTCCACAATTAAACCAATAACGTGTTAAAATTAAAATGAAATATTTTTTATTCTGTTATGAAAACATTTCAAAGAAGAAAGGAGGATAAAAAAAGAATTTGTTAAATAGTAATCATGATAGTCAGATGCAAAAAATAGTTTTGTCAAGTCGTCCCCTGACATTCAACTATTGATTACTTTAAGTGGCAAAGCATCAAATTGGATGGTGCTTAAATTAATTCACTTATTCTAAGTTGTCTTTCAATGACATTTGATTCTTTATTACTCTGACCGACTCCTAATGGATGAAATCTTTTTAAAACACCCACGTAGTAGGTATATCTATTACATATGTCTAGAATGTTACTGCAAAAGATGCATGATTATTTTACTAAGCAAGGACTTCTTTGCACAGGGAATTGAGTTATACCGCGCCATTTCGGTTCAGGGAAGTTCGCATTTCTTCGGAAAAAGTTTCGTTTTTGCAATTATTAAGGTAACCGTCAGATATCCGAAGTTAGTTGCATTATAACGGAAACAATACCGCTTGTTTACCTGCAGAACGGGATTGAAGTGCAGCCCAGTGGGACAAGAGCGCTCCACCTTCTCCCCGCGGACGCAGTAGTAGAATAGGCTGCAGTTGCACTCGTGTGGTAATAACTTGTGCACGTCAAAGTCTGCGGGGCAGCCGTTGGGCAGGAGTCCTGTGTCGTTCCCTCCACCGTCCCCTCCGCCGTCGCCACCGCCGCCCCCACCGCCGCCCCCACCACCATCCCCACCACCGCCTCCGTTGTCGCCATCGTTGTCATCTCCGTCACCACAATCACAACCTCCCCCGGCGTTAGGATCGCAACCAGCGTTAGCCGGCCAGTCGCATACCTGGAAGTAGTAATTATTTATCGATTATTTTTTTCATTGTTATAAGACTGAAATGTAAGCCGTAGAGAATTTTAATATTTCTAAATTAATTAGTTATTGTTTTATGGGACGAAGTACAGCTGAATAAAATGGATAAGTATTACAAATTGCATTCAAATCTGTCAAGCCATTGTTTTTTTTTTAATCCGAATTTGTTTTGGGGCTTTTATCTTTTTTGGATATGTCAATCCCATTGTGACCATCTCATTTCTATACTTTAGAAATACACTATATCTAAGTTATTGTGAGAACACAGAAGCTGCACAACATTCTTTGGTCAAGCTATTGTTACTTGAAATGGAAACCAATACCCCAATACTCTCCTATTCATATCTTTTTTATTTATATTACTGTGATTATATAAGTTTTGTCCGCATATGTCCTTTTAAAAATAATTAATGTTCAATTGTCGCTTTCTGCAAATTTTCATTCCTCCAGTGTATCTTGGAGCATCAATATAATATCAAGCATATAATAATAGCAATATAATAGCAGCATCAAGGAAATAGTTTTAGTTAGATGCGTGCTCATAAAAAGAATCTCTTACGACTAACATACAAATTTCTCTCAGTTTTCAGAGAGCCACGCCATAGTCTTTAGTGTTTCACGAAAGAGCAGGTGTCGTTCGGGGAAGTACCGCGACTTCACAGAAGACCCGCGTGAAGTGGGAGTATACACTTCTGCGTTAGGTTTGGCGAATGACATAATCAAGAGCCGCTCTATTAAAAGACGGCAGTGTCTGCAACACTATGGGTGTTGCAGATGTCCATGGGCGGCGGTTATCACTTAACATCAGGTGAACCGCCAGCTCGTTTGCCTCCTTCTCACATATTGACGACATGCGATCTTGTGGTAAACTAAATACTAGAGACGATGGAAATTTTTAGAATGCTCTCTGAGTTTTAATAATAAACTTGTTTATTGTGTTGTGTCGAACTTGTGTTCGAGATAAAAATTAAGCATATAAACCTTCACCCTTGCCTGATGCCTTATGCTACAGGCACAAAAAAAGGCTTGTTAATCACAAGTCTATTTATATCTAAGTATTTTGCGCGCTTCTCAAATCTTATTTAGCTAAAAATCTTATTGAGCTACTTGTGCTACGACAAGCTAAAAACTAGCTTATTGTATACATAAGTAGATGCTTCTATGAGGCATCTATCAATCACATTTTATTTAAATCAATTTGTTATTACATAATACGAGTAATACTACATAATACATTAAAAAAACCCTTCACCTTTTCGATTGCGTTATATTTCAAAAATTTATTATTTTATTTATTGTGATTTTAAAGTGTCGTATATCGTGAAGCAAATTAAGCTATACAATTATCAACGAGACAATTCAATATCCGAAGCATGAGACGCGTTGAGTTTGATGCGGCGTCGCAGACAGCGATCCGCACATAAGAAATCGACACCGGAAGTCTCATAACCGCATTGCAAATTAGGCCCGGACCACTTCGTTATGGACCGACTTAATGACTTATGTCAATAACATCTTACCTGCAATTGAGCGTTGAAATGCGTTCCAGACGGACACTCCCGCAATACTAGTTCGCCGCGCAGGCAGTAGTAGAATCTGGAGCAGTTCGTCTCATGAGGTAACAGTTGGTATACGCTGAAATCGGCGGGGCAGCCGTTAGGCAGCGTGCCCTGGCCTCCACATTCTGGCGTGGTTGTGGTCGTCAAAGCAGTGCTTGATGAAACCGGTGTCGTTGTTGATGCCGGTGTCGTTGTCGTCGCGACTGAGGTCGTCGTTGTAGCCGGTGGACAAACGCACGGTGCAGATGTCGTTGTGGTCGTCGTTGTTGTGGTCGGTGGACATATGCACGGATCGGTAGTTGTCGTCGGGGCTGTGGTTGTCGTCGTGGTCGTCGGCTCGGGTGTAGTAGTGGTCGTGGTTGGTTCAGGGGTAGTTGTGGTGGTCGTTGGTGCCGGTGTGGTTGTGGTTGTCGTTGTGGTTGTAGTTGTTGGGGCCGGTGTGGTCGTCGTCGTTGTTGTGGGTGGTGTTGGTGATCCCGGGAGCGTGCAGTTTGCTAATGTCGGGTGAATGCACACCTGTTAAAAAAAAGATATTTAATATTTTAAAAACATGCATTGTAGGTGATAAAAAGCGCAATTAATTACTATCGACCAGTGTAGCGGGACACTGGGAAAGGATAATAAGAAACTGTATCTGACATATCCATAATTCTGTGTGTAATACGTTTGTGTAGGGCGATTTTTAGCATCTTTCCCACACGATTTGCCCAATAAATTCTCTTCGCCAGAATTTCCTCTTATAAGCATCCAACATGTGCAAGCACCCAAGCCTTTTCGGTTTCCGCTCAATTTGTGTTTTAAAATAAGAGAAAATGAAAATGGACTCTCACTTGTATCTCCGCCGAGAACTCTGTGCCTAGGGGACAGTTCCTCGGGTTCAGCCACCTGAGGCCGTACTCGCAGTAGTAGAACTTTGTGCAGTCGTACTCATGGGGAAGAAGGTAGTGGGATTCGGAGGCCGGGCAGCGATCGTCAGGCACTTCGCGCCGCTCTTCTAGGATGTCGCTGTCGATAGGCAACTCCATGCCCCTTAGCTGATCGCCATCCTCCGTATCCCTTGGCATCCCTGGGCCAATGCCAAGAGAGCAAGGAACAAGAGCTTTCCTGTAAATAAATATTCCAGGTTTCAATTATTTGATTTCTGTGTGTTTACGAACGTTACTGTCCATGTGTAAATCGAAGATTTTACAACTGACTTTTTTTAATGTAATAAGAGAAATTAGTTTACGTTCTAGGTATTTTTTATCTCAATTTTGATTCCCATAAACGTGTATCAATTATTACCAGACACTTTATTGACAATAGAAACGGAGGAAGCTTGTCGAACATAACCTAACCTAACCTAAACTGGGTACACTTTATCATATTATGAATGTTTCAAGCAACTGTTATTTTATAGTGTGCTAGTTTCGAGAACATGTAATTTACATATATTATATTATTTACATCATCGTCATCCTCCTAACCTTATCCCACCTAGGAGGGTCGGCACAACATGTAACCATGTTGTAAGCGGTTTTGGCATGTTTTTTACGACCAGCCGACTGCCTGACGTAAACCCTTCTTGCGAAACAAACACCCAGATACGGAACAATTATCTGTGGGTCACATAAATACTTATGCCGTGTTGGAATCGAACCCACGACCCCCGACGCCGAAGCAACAGAGTCATATTATATTATTTACATACAATATATAATATAATATATTTTGCTTTCCCATTTTGTACATAATTAAAGCCTTTTAATTAAATTATCTTGGCTTAATCGTGAGCTCTCAGTAATTTGCTAGTACGCTTTGTGTTTGGTTTTTGTTCCTTCAAATATCTGATAATACTTCCATTAATAGATTTCCCGTCGTGATTAGCACTTGCGGATCGGTATTTGTCGTAATACGTAAAGAACGTCAAATATTTAACTATCAATAATAGATTTAATTGACGATAAATTGAAGATTAAAGCTTATCAGTTGCGGTCGGTGCAATTACAGTCGCAATTTTGCATTTCAACTAAGATATGAAAACGAATATTTATTTCGGTATTGAAACATTAGCTAAAAATTATTTTACAAGGTATTTCGGATTGATTATTTTGAAAAGATGCAGGTTTTGTCACGATGTTTTTCATCACCGCCGAGCCAAATGCTCGGTGGTGAAGAAAAACATAATTCAGCACTTAAAATTAACAATTTCATTAGTTGCGGCACCGGGGAGCAAGCTCAGGTTGCTCGAGTATATTGAATTAAAAGAGAGCCGGACACGAGCTATCACGGGTATATACATCAAAGGAAATAAAATGGCTCTCAATGTGCAGAAATGTTATATTATAATATTTTAAGAATATATGAGCAATACCAAAGAAAATCCATATTAGAAATAAGCGCTTAAAACGCGATAAAATGGTCAGACATTTAGGCATATATTTCGACACAGAAATATGTTTCACAAATCATGTTCATACAATAAAATAAGTATACCTAATTAAGTATTATCGTCAAATCAAAATTAAATATAATGATTATAATAAAAATATAATCCTGCTGATAAAAATACACGAAATCGTTCACATGAATTATCGTTTTTCTATCGCAAAATTAAATTATTTATGTCTATATCAGCACTCCTATTTGGTGGTATCCTATTTATGAAAATAATAATATATAAAGAATAGAAAGGGTCAAAAAGGGATCATATCAAAATTAAGCTATGTTGAAGGCATATATTAATATATAGTTAGACATTAAAATTTATGAAAAAGAATTCAACACTTCTTGTAAATTTCTTCTTCCACAAAGAGAAAACATAATTTTTTATTTATATTAGGTTTCTGTTTCCTATAAATAAAATCTGTTTTATGGCATTTTTACCTGTAATTTAAATATGTCAATATTATATATGTATTTAGATGGTAAGCCTTAAAAATAAATGATGATTCTAATTATTCATTAATTTTAGCCTCTCTTTTCTCTATATATTCTAATCCCATTTCTAATGGCCTTCAAAATGTTAGGGTTTTGTTTTTTAAAATCGGCTTTGTTTATTAAAATCGGAACAGGGCACTACTATCTCTACTTAAACATGAATTGAGTTCCTTTAATCAACTAATTAGTTCCTAAAAAGCTAACAGAACAAGACTAACTCAGTCATATGATTAAGTTCGCACTTGTTGCAGTCTTTGTAGTGAATTATAGAAATATTTCCACGTACCAATCATTGCGTCTTGTAGACGCTTGAAACTCGTAGAAGCAGCCGCCACCGTAGCAATATCTGTGTCGAAGCACACTGACACACTACGTTTAATGCCCAAATATCAATGCTATTTATTTAATCCACCGCCCGTGTAACAACGAAACCGATACAATCAATCGATTGATAAAATTAATGAAATAATCTCGATTATCTTCATCCAAGATCTTTCCCTCCAGGAAAAAAACTGGGTACACGGAATAACACTTTAAATTTTCTGTCAGTGGTTCCGTCCTTGTTGATTGCTCACAAAATACGGTTATATCCACAAGGTGACAAAACTCAATGTCGTAAACAATTTTAAGTGTAAGATTCATTCGTCAGTAACTAATTTCAAAGTAAAATAAACGTCAAAATTTCTTTATTCTACACTAGCTGACTCGGCAAACGTTGTTTTGCCGTATAAATTATTTCTAGAGGAATCGGAACGCACGCATAAAATGTTAGTACAGTTTGTATAGGAAAATAAAATTGTTGCAATTTCGATTTTCCATCCAATTTTTCCATGATTTCCCATCGTTTAAACCTACCCTGGATTGCCACTAATAACAAAACGAAAATTAGCCAAATCAGTCCAGCCGTTCTCGAGTTTTAGCGAGACTAACGAACAGCAATCCATTTTTATATAATAAGATAAGCTTAATTTAAGCTTTAATTGTTTTATGGTTTACTAATTTAGACCTTTCGAGATAAGAACCGGCAAGAAACTGCAGTTTCGTTCCATTCTTTTGAAATGACATACAAATTTGTAAATTTTAAATCAGCATTAGCCAGTGCAGAGCAAGAGTCACACATCGTTATGTACAACGTATTCTTCGACATTATAATAAACCCTTCCATTAAGGTAGCTTTTTCAAAGCATTTCAAATTGTTTGCAAATATTTGGTTGTGGATGTAACTTATTTTATTAGACATGTTCATATATCTATAAAGAAATGATTTTCTGGTTTTATCCTGGTATAAACCTCGGTACTTCCAGAGTAGCAACATGACCGTGGAGCGGTATGGTATGTTATTTTGTAAATAAAATCGCCCAAGTGCGAGTTGTACCCGCGCACGTAGGGTTCCGTACCATTATTAATAAAAACTGCAACAAAATCAAAATCTGTTGTATGGGAGCCCCACCGATTTTTTTTAAATCTTAAATAAACGAAAACAGATATGGGACTTTGTTTTTCCTTTCCTTAACTTTTTTTTGATTTTTTTTTAAATACATTGCCTTCACCATAGGATATAACTATCCAGTGTTGTAAGGACGTTTTACAAACATAAATTGCACGAGGACAAACACCCAGATGCGAAAAAACTATCTGTGGGTCGTACAAATAGTTGTCCCGTATGGGAATCGAACCCACGACCCCCGACGCTGAAGCCAATATCTTGGCAACTGCGCCACGGAGTCATTAAACTTTTTAATACGGACATTTGATATTATAATCAAAAGAAACATTAAAAGAAAAGAATACCCTGTATAAATGTTATAACATATGTTTAATAACGTTTTTACGTTGATTGTTATTAATGATAATGTTTTTAACATACCTCTATATGTAATGTATACTTAGATGGCAAATAAATGATTGAATTGAATTAAATATTACGTGTAATCAGATAAAGATGTAATATAGAAGATTGTTATTAGTAATATGTTATATTAAAAACCTCTAAAAGTAAAACTGAAAAGCTTATTTAATTGTTTCAAATTTAGATATCTACTAATATTATAAATGTGAATATAAGTTTGTTTGTTACGCTTTCACGCCAAAACTACTCAACCGATTACTATGAAACTTTGTACACATATTCTTAGAGGTATTAAAAAGGACATAGGAATATTTATATTAAAAAAAATAAATGTAAAAAAAAATATTTGAGGGCTTCAACGCGGGCGAAGCCGCGGGTAAAAGGTAATATGGAAAAATAATTGACAACATTTCACTACAGATACAGAGTACCTACTATATGACTTTAGTTCACGGGGAATCAATACCTAGCTGTGAGTGGCGAATAAATTTAAATATTAAACTAATGTACTATGAATTTAATATAAGCTTTGCTTAGTTTGAATCCATATAAAGGTCCGAAAAAAGAAATATTAATGCATTTGTCATTTTCTTTATCATACAATGGCGACAAGCATTATAAACTGTTTGAATTCTTATACATGTTATTAATAGATAATTATGAAGCACGAATAGTTTCTTAACGGCTAGGGCATAATGGATACATTATAATTAAATAGCATTTTACTTGTTTGGAAGAATAACGGGCAAACATGCTGAATTATACAACGGAATTATAATATATGAATTATGAATAAAAGCTTTTTTTGGTTACTTAATTTCTAAATCTGTGACAATGCTTTTTTATTAGCCCAAATATTGAATGCAATTTAAAACTACAGGAAATTCTCAAATTCAATGAAATAGAGTAAAGTTGAGCTTGATTTATATACGGGCAGTATATAAATCGGGTAGTAGACGGGAAGCGAAACCTCCACGAGCCATTATTAGACCCCACCACACGCGCAGATGCCCGTAGTTGCCCACGCCCCAGATTTGTCGTTGAGATCCCCAGCGATTAGCACGGGGCAGGGGTTATGGTGATGGATCAATGACCCCAGTCGGTTCAGGTAGCTTTCCAACTCGGCCAGCGTTCCCTTGAGAGAGAAATAGTCCACTTCGACTACGGCTACCCCAGCGGAGTCGTATGGAGCCTGGACCTGTTATCACTCCGCTGAGAAGAGAACCCGCTGCGATCATGCAGACCACTGGCGCCCTGTCTGAAAGGTTCTCAGCGAAGTTGTCATCATGGGAACAG